TCGAAGAGTCACTTTAGTAACTCTTTTCGGTGGCTAGTTTATACTATCAACTCGGTTGATATTTAACAGCTATTCACCAAAGCAGAGGTGGTTAGTGGTGGATATTTACCTCGCCGCTTCGCGGCTCGCTTTTCAAATTCACCTTCCCAAGCAAACTTTCATTTTTTGTTGTTCCTCTGTAGTTTGTCACTATAAACATAAATTTAGGAAACTTGAGTTCTGCTCTATTTTTGTCATACCCTGTTTTCTTCTTTTTTATTCGTCACTAGCATTGCATAATCTTTGGGAGGGTCGATCGCATGAAAATTATAAAAATCTCTATAAACAGTAGGAGACTACATTATTGAGGAAGGAATCCTGCCATGCAAGTTTTGTTTTAGGGTTGATGTTTCAAGCCCTAACTCTTCCTCAAATAAAATGCTCCTCATAAAGCTAAAACTGGAACAGTCAGCCTTTGAAACTCTCTGTGGTGGCCAGTTTACATTTGCAACTCAGTTGAAATACCTAAATTGGCTTGTATAGTACCCCCACTGATCGATGCAGCACTGCAGTTTCTTTAGAAACTTTTCGCCTTTCTTCAGTCAGTTCTGTTTAGGTTTAGAATTGATACAAAAATATGGTGGTTAAATTTGTTCTTGGTAATGAAATAGAGAAATATGTACATACTGTAGATCACAGGTATTATATATGAACTTTATAATGATATATGATGCATGTGATCCCTATACTATGACCTGGTAATGGCCTGGCTAACTGCACAATCATTGTGGCTTAGTGATATAGAACATTAGAGAGCAGAATCTGGAGCTCTGAGGCCTTATTCCTTACTGGGACTCAGAATTTTTTTTTTTGGTCCCATCCTCATGACAATTTGAAAAACATGCTTCTCCAACAACACTCATCTTTATGGCAGTCAACCAAATAAAACAAGTCATCATGTGAGGCATGGGACCCTGCACATGCTATGCTATGGAAAACCTCGCCCATCTCAGAATAAGCCAGACATATTCTTATCAATAAGTTCATGACCGTACATGCAGGTATAAAAGATAGAAAGAAGAGGCAGTTTTCAAGCCAAGTGGCGCTTAATGAACGCAGGTGCCTAACTCCAGTTTCTGTAGGATGAAGTCACCAGGAGTATTTCTATATTCCCCCCTGGATGGGATGCTAGTCCATTGCTGAATTACCTCCAGCATTCAATTTGCCAGTACTCATTTTAACTCCTAGGTGAAGAGAGGCTCTGTGAGAGTAAAGTGTCTTGCCTAAGCAGGGCTCGACACTAACATTCGTCCACTAGCCACAGACTAGTAGAAATTCAGTTGTGGCGAGTGGTTTTCAATTTCTACTTAGCCAGTTTAGCTAGTAAATAGACTCAAATTGTCGTAACATCCAAAAACATTTGTTTTAAGATGTCATAAGCCACTTGGCTAGTACGTTGAAAAGTTAGTGTCGAGCTCTGCTAAGAACACAACGCAATGTTCCCGGCTGGGGCTCAAACCTGAACCACTCAATCTCGAATCAGACACATTAAACTCTATTGAACATTGGCAAAAGAGTAATTTTGCTGTTTTCAGCAATAAGAAATGCTGTCAATAAATCTGTATTGGTTAAAACTATAATATATATATCTACTAATAGGCCATTTACTGTATTAAGGCCATGGAATGTGCCATGGTGTTACACCGTAGAATGTATACATTGTACCATTAAATAAGGTGTTTCTGTTTGTAGAGAAAAAAGATGAAAAAAAAATATAACAGTTGTACATGTATTTTTTTTTTTCAGTTATTAAAAATTTAAAGGAAAAAAGGCAGAAATAGCCTTAGTTAAATGAAAATTCAGGAATTAATTCCTAGATGTGTACCTTTATATCAAGATAAAACCCTGTGTGTATAAATATTGCTAGCTTGTCATTATTTTTTCCAATAACTACTTTATATCAGTGCTGCACATGCAAGCTCAGTTGGAATGTTTAAGTGACCTTAAATTAAACTAAATTGTATCAATTAATAAGCACATGAACATTTCAATCAGTTTCTACATATCCCTATATTTTCAAATTAGTAGCAAAATATCATTAAAAAAAAAAATTATTGTAGTCGTATAATGTATGTCCATTTGCATGTAATATTATACTATGCCAGCAAGAATAAGTACTTGAGGAAAATAAAAGAAATAAAATATTGCCATATTGAATGATAACAATGTTTACCACTTCCTCAAGTTTTCCCAGCAATGTGGATTGTTGGTTGTATTTTCCATCAGTACAACTTTCACTGGTAATAACAATGGTTATGTTAATTACATTTCCTCCAATGACTGCAGGCAAAGAAGAAGACAAACTGCATGTAAAAAATAATTCTATCAGCCATCAGGGCCATTTAAAAACTGTACACCTGACATTATATTTAGAATCTTATGTTGAAAATGGGCTCATGATCAAGCCAGCTTAATTCTCATCATAAGATTTGGTCCCTGGAATTGATTCAATTTCATATAATTATTAACTTAATTTATCCTTAATGTTAAGCTCTGGTGATGAAAGACTTTCAGAATCATCCAACACATGCATTATATGGCAGCCATTATAGAGGCTCTGACAGTCTCTACATTTAGTCACTATAAATTGCAAAATTGTTTCTTGATAAGGAGGCAGTGTGGCTGAGTGGTTAGAGTGTCGGACGCGTAATCCGCCGCTCCCGGGTTCGAGTCCCACCATGACCACTGGATTTGTTTCACAGTGGCCCCGAGTTCAGATCCTTGGCCACCCTTGTAAATAGCCAACTGGTTTGCCTCCAGCCAGTTGGGGTTCTTAATGATGTTATGTTCAATTTAGACCATTTGTTTCATTTGTTTGCAAGGACCACAATGGAAACTACTGGTTCACCAGTAATTGTGTAATCCTATCAAAAGACTTTTTTTTTTTTTATTTCTTGCACAGCACCTACCATGCAGATTACAAAATAGTACACAAAAGATGACCTACTGGTTCCCAACAAAGATGCAGTACAGAACCTGTTGAGCTACAGCGTTTTATATCGTGCATGCCAATTATGATTGATTTAAGAAACAAATGTTTGAATAGCAAATTTTCATTTAGTGAATTAAGAAATGTAATTTAACTTACAAACACTAGCAATTTCATTGGCCACTTTGCATTTATAGTTGGCATCATTAAGGACTTTTGAAATAACAAGAGTACTCTCGTCACAAACTTGTTCCGTGTCACATGGAGTCCATGTATAAGTGGGAGGAGGGTTTCCTTCTTCTTTGCAGTGAAGAGTTGCACTTTCATGCACATCTGTAATATACTCAGTTTGAAAATTAACAATTCTGGCTGGATCTGTAAATTGGAAGGAAAATACATTTTATGAAAAATGTTAAACCACTGCAAATTATGTATTAATATCGATACTTACAGAAATTACATGATTAATCTTTGAAATTTTGAAATGCTACCACATCACACTAGATCAAATGAGTAAATTAATTAATATGTATTTTTGAGCTTTAAGTTATTATCCATTCAATTCAAGATTTTATTTTTGAAACAGAAGAGCTGGTATTTGTCTGCATGAGTGTACAATTTTTCTTTACTATATTTACACTCAGAGAATGTAGAAACAAAGATAATTTGTCTTTGTGCTCCTTAAATATATAAACTCATGGCCATTACAATTTTTTTAGCACAGCTAGCTGTCACTGACATAATATAGCTGAATTACTAAGTTTAGAAGTGTCAACAAAACAGTAGAAAGTCCTTATTAATTAGAACACACATAAAAGCTCACACTGTTCATAATGCATAGTGTAATCATTAAATTACATAATACAAAAATTAATAGAAATATTTTAAGACCATGACATGTAGTTAATTAACTTACAAGTGACATCCACATCAACTGCTTGACTGTCTGGGTTTCCAAAGCCATTATGTGCATTACAGTAGAACGTTCCTGAATCATTCCTGAAAATGTTTCTTATATTCAGCCAGGCTCTCTGTTGTACTGATTCAGTATTTCCCTCAAGACTAGCTTCTCTTTGGTCCAAGTGATGTTTGGTGCTGGTTTCCCAAATGTCTTACAGGTTAACAGAAGGTTAGAGGTATGACAATGAATTAAGGCCATAACTAGTTGTTCTAGGATTTCTAAGTGACAGTATGTAATTACCGCAAAGATTATAAGAAGAGGATCGAAGTGAATACATACTTCTCATATAAGCTGGAAAATGAGTGAAAAACAGGCTCTTGTACAATAAAATAAGGAAATTCTGGATACGCCCATTACATAAGTGAGTCAGTTTGCGAGACATATGTCTAGCAAACTGACTCAATTATCGAACACGTTCCTGGCCTCGGCCCACAAAATTTCATCACCATTACATAAGGAACTAGTATTAACCTTAGTCAGAAGGCTATCGTATGGCGACAAGTAATCCCTAAGTATAAATCTAAGTTTTCTCAGAAGGGCTGGTGTGATGCGTTCATGTTTTTTTAATTCTAGTAATAAGGCGTGCGGCAGTGTTTTGAGTTCTCAGTAGAGGATACTGTTACAATAGTATGGAAGGAACATTGTCAATGTGGTTCTTCCTTACTTTCCTCTCGCCATGCGAAGTTCAATCGACAGAAAGATGATTTGAAGTCTTTTTGGG